TAAATATGGTAAAATTTATACTCACAGAGGGGTAGTAAAATATATAGTCGTATAGTGCACATACAGTTCATAGTCATATAGTATATGTCATTCATAGTCACAGATAGGATGATTATTTTCAATCATAGAGTGAGTATAGTAAAAGTTACAGTTTTTAAGCACATATAGTAAAATATTTATTGGTAGAGTGCATACAAGCTGGCTATTTGTAGTCGTGAAGTGCATATAATAAGTGCATATTATTTATAATCATTAAGTGCATATAGTAAAATGTGTAGTCACTGAGTGCTCACAGCAAAAATTTGTTTCTTCACAAAAAATTTCTACCTTTTTTTCGCTTTATGACGTAATGCAGCATATCATCGAGGTCTTATTACTCGACTTTCAAATAACGATGAAACACAGTCTTCCTAACGCAGTCTATTGGAAAAATATGTTCTCTCCTTACAAGTGTTAAGTGGACAGCTCAACAGTTTCATGATAAACCTTGCACTAGAATAGATATAGCGTGTACTCAATTTGCAATTTTATCTCCAACAACTGATTACCTTGCGTATTATAGCTTACAAGTCCTCAGTCTACTTTTCCTACCGTAATTCTGGAGTGTATTTTTAGACAGGCAGGTTACTAAACTCCCGGTTTTCGAAATTATGATTGACTGCTTAAATACTTTTATTATATAAACACCATCTCCACCACTCACTCGCGTATACATATGTACAGATCAAACCATACCAGATACGACTTCCTGTTAGAGAATTAAACTTCCTTAAAATGAGCCAAAACCCCCAGAAAAATTGTCAAAAGTGCCGGAAGGTGACTAACGGAGAGTCTGAAGGTGGCGAGCCCCCAGCAAGCAAAAGCGTCTCCATCATATTGTCCGTACGAGTAACAATAAATATCATAGCACAACTAATAAACGTTGTCCCACTAAACTAAACTTGCTCAAAGGGTTAATTGTTAATAACCGGTAAGATGATTCTGGTACCCGCGAAACGTTTCATCAGCATCAGATCCACGTCGACGTTCATAGTGAACGGAGATTAATAGCGGACATTAGACGTACACGTGGGTGTTCGTCAAACGAATGGTTTTCTACAACGTGGATACTAGAAGCAGCTTCTCTCGCATGTAACAAGTGCTCGTGCAGTGACATAGGCACGAGTACCGGTGCCCGTTGCACCGAAACCGGTCAGTAACTTGCTCAGATTTCACCGGAGATAAAAAGTTTGTACAAATCGTCGAACGGCGCTCGATTATTTTCATTTGCGGACGTTTACGATTACCGGTATTTTCCTCGTCCCGATATAATACCGTATGCGCGTATAACAGTTCATTTGCAGGACATGGAAATTGCGCGTTAAAACGACGAAATCAATCGCTTATAATGACGGAGGGACAATTTCAGTGCGCTAGGAAATTGCGGAGACTCTTATGGCAAGATAATAGTGAATCCCAAGACTAAATTAAAATTGTTATGCATCATAAATATTGTACAATTTGAATCCTCTGAAGTGGAGTATTAATGTAAAATATGGAGATTCTTTTTTGGTGCGCTTTTATTATTTGATAATGTAAAACAATTTGAGGAAATTTCTAAGTTGCAGAGTTGGTATTAAAGAAATTTTTCGGAAATTTTCATTTGTAAATTCTAGTTGTGAAATGATTGAAAATGTAAGGAATCTTTAGTTGTGGTAGTGAAATTATGAAAATTTGCGATGTAAAGGTTTGTAAGTTGATAAATTTGGAAATGCTGCGTGCTGTCTTTAAATGATCCTGTATTATCATCCTCTAAACAAAACTGGAGTCACCAATCGGCGTTCATAAACAATGTTACCTCGAACTATACTTCACGTTTCTACGCCACGGGCCGTACAGTCAGATGCAACGTATGCTTTCTTTGAATGAGTACACTAAGAAGACTCCTAAGTCTCTAAATATCTTCATCTCCAAATTTCTACGTCCCCAAATTTCTACGTCCCCAAATTCCTAGATCCCCAGGTCCCTTCATCTCTCAAGCCCAATTTTTCAAGTTCCAAGATTTCCAAATCCCTTCACCTCCAAATTTCGAGATTTCCAAATTTCTACTTTCCCAAATTTCTTCATCTCCAAATTCCTAGGTCCCCAAATCCCTTCATTTCTAAGTTTCTACACTTGCAAATTCCTAGGTCCCTAAATCCCTTCATCTCACAATTCCCAATCTTCCAAATTCCAAGATCTCCAAATTCCTTCACTTTCAAATTTCTACATTTGCAAATTCCTAGGTTCCCAAATACCTTCATCTCCCAAATCCCAATCTTCCAAATTCCAAGATCTCCAAATTCCTTCATTTTCAAATTTCTACACTTGCAAATTCCTAGGTCCCCAAATTCCTTCATCTCCCAACTCCTAATCTTTCGAATTCCAAGATCTTCAAATCCCTTCATCTCCAAATTTCGAAACTTCCAAATTCCTAGGTTCCCAAATCCCTTTATCTCCCAATACCCGATCTTCTAAATTCTAAGATCTCCAAATCCCTCCACCTCTAAATCTCGAGACTTCCAAATTCCCAAGTGCCCAAATCCCTTCATCTCCAAATTCCTAAGTCCCCAAATCCCTTCATCTCCAAATTTCCAAATCTTCAAATTCCAAGGTTCCCATACCCTATCCCCAAATCCCAGAACCACCAAATCTCCAAATCCATAAATTCTCATACTCCCAAACCCCACAGTCCAAAACAATCAAATCTCCAAAAATATTAATAAAATTGAGTAACCAGTGAAGCTCTCCCTTCTTGTTTATCGCATTTCCTGTACAGAGATTCGATTTGTATTGACTGTACGTCGCGAGGCGGTGATTACCGATCGTGGATCAGTTCCTTCCGCGTCGTACGGCCAGCAATATTAGATAGATAGCGGCGTGACTGAATCTCGTAGCTCCAATAAAACAATGAGCCAGGTCTCGCCATGTTAGAACGTCCCGGCGGGGCAGACTTGCACCGCATAAAATTACACGGTAATCTCGATTCGAGACAACGAAACCAGCCATGGAAAAACGAGCCTGCATGCAGATTGCGCAAGGTGTAGCGTGCGCGTGACGTTTCCGGAAACCGGCCGCGTAACCTGAAGGCGATCCGTACGGACGACTGTACGGATGATCGATTTCTCTTCAGAACGAATATAGAGGATATTTTCGCCGAAGTAAATCACACGGGGGAGAGTACGACGATAAAATCGTCCAACCGTGCCGAGCTTCTTTAACTTCGAACGTGATACACGCGTATCGCGATGTTACTCGCCATACGAGGGCGCCATTTTTTAGAGACTTGCGATGGCACGCTAGTGGACGTGGTACGAGGATAATTTCAGTGGTTTTAGCGTTCTTGTTTTCTTCTGGATTTAGGTTTGCGTTTTGGTTTGGTTAGGTTAGGTATTTGTATTTACTATTTTATCTACCGTTTTTAGATACTATGTTTTATTTAGTATTCTAGGTATTTCGTATTGCGATGTTACCTGCCATACGAGGGCGCCATTTTTTAGAGACTTGCGATGGCACGCTAGTGGACGTGGTACGAGGATAATTTCAGTGGTTTTACCTTTCTTATTTTCTTCTGGTTTTAGTTTCTGATTTAGGTTAGGTTAGGTTAGTTAGGTTAGGTATTTATATTTACTATTTATATTATTTTTTCTGCTCTTTTAGGTACTATGTTTTATTTAGTATTTTAGGTATTTTGGGTTTTTAGTTTTCTTTAGTAGGTTATTCTATTTTTATCTAGTATTGTTATTTTATTTTTATGGGTTGTTTTAGGGATTCTTTACCTAGTATTTTTACTTTTTAATTTGGTCTTTCTACTGTTATCTTATAGTGTAGTTATTTTGTTTTCTATCTATTGTTTTAGGTATTCTATTATTATCTAGTATTTTAGGTATTTCAGGTTTTTGCTTTAGTTTTCTTTATTTTCATTTATTTGATTATTCTATTTTTATCTTGTGTTATAATTTTATTTTTGTGGGCTGTTTTAGGGATTCCATTTTTACCTAATATTTTCACTTCTTAGTTTGCTCATTCTAGTTTTATCTTATAGTGTATATAATAATAATAATAATAATAACTATTTTCACCGAAAATAGTTATTCGGTTTTTTATCTATTGTTACAGGTATTCTATTTTTATCTAGTATTTTAGGTTTTCTATTTCTGGTTTTTACTTTAGTCTCTTTCATTTTAATTTATTTGATTATTCCAGTTTTATTTTCTTCTACTGCTTTAAGTACTTTCTTTTCACATAGTATTTTTATTTATTCTATTTCCAGTTTTCACTTTAGTTGTTCTATTTTTACTTTAATTTTAGTAACTCTAGTTTTATTTTGTATTCTAGTTACTTCATTCTTATTTATTGTTTTAGGTACTCTGTTTTTATCTAGTATTTTAGGTATTTTATTTCTGGTTTTTACTTTAGTTATACTTTATTATATAAAGTATTACTTTAGTAATAGTTTAGTTATTCAATTTTTAATAGTTATCAACTTTAATAATTCTTTAGTTATTCAATTTTTACTGTCATTTTGGTGATTTTAGTTTTACCTTATAGCCTAGATATTTCATTTTTTATCTATTGTTTTAGGTACTCTATTTTTATCTAGTATTATACTAATTCTCTTTTTACATCTTATTCTGATTATTCTATTTTTGTTCTTCATTTTGGTTATTCTAGTTTATATTGAATATTTTTATCATTTTAATTGTTTCATTTTTATCTATTAATTTAGATATTCTATTTATACCTACTATGTTAATTATCCTATTTCTAATTCTCACTCTAGTCATCCCATTTTTACTTTTCATTTCACTTATCCTACTTTCACTCTTCATTTTGATTATTCTAATTTCACCCCACATAGCAGTTATCATATTTCTATCCATCATTTCAGATCACTCTAATTTTACCTACTACTTCAATTACTCCATTTTCATCCTCCATTTCAGCTATTTATTTCTATTTCTTATATAAAGATAGCCTTAGAAAAGATAGCCCATTTTTGTAACAATTTCGTAAACAATGTAAAGTGTCCACATACGTGGCCAAGAGCGTGAAGAGGTTAAAGTGTGTTAACAAACGACAATGGAAGTGTTTGATCCGGTGAAGGTGCTCCTGATCGTAACATTGCTGCGTCCATGGGTCGACGACGTGTTTTCAATGGTGGCTGACCAGCAGGTATGTTGATCGTGCACGGATTACACGAATCTTTTAGCGTCGCCATTGACTACGAATGATGCATGTAACGATCGGCCCTCATGGTATATTCATCAACCGTGGCCGGGTATTAAATAAGCTTCCATTAACGTCTCTATCAATCAGGCCACGGTGGAAACGCGTGGATTACTCGTGATTCGCTTTTGCTCCAAGTTTGCTCCAAGTTTCTGTTTATTCCGTAAATACGGTGACGATTTATTATTAGCTGACGAGGAAAGGTGGAATTTAAATCACAGTGAAATTTACAGACGTTAATTTTATAGTATTTGTATGTCGATTTGGTTGCTTTGAAATTTTTTTTCTTTAGGTATTGAAAGGTTTTTAGTTTCTTCAGGTTTAATTTAAAGGTTTTGGGATTCTGGAATTTAAAAGTTGAACTTAGAGATTTTGAATTTTGAGACTTTGGAGACTAAACTTTGAGACTTTGGAATTTTTCAATATTGGGACTTTTAGAATTTGGAGATTTTTGGAATTCGACATTTTTAAATTTAGAACTCCAGCCTTTGGGACTTAAAAATTTTCAAACTTCAAGACAATAATTTTTCTCAAATTTGCTTCTTTCATATTTAAATTAAATATTTATATTTTTAATATTTTAAGGTATGTTTTTAATTTAAATTAAAACTTGACAAACACAGTGATTACTCTAAATGCAATTGCATTCTGATAAACGAAAAAGAGCACACAAGAAATAATAACACTTTGACCTATAAAAACTAATCAATAAAAATGTACATATATGATCATACTTGCAACTCATACTTACCTTACAAAGTACTATAACCTTCTGAACGAGACCTAACGAACGTTAAAAGTACATTCGACTGCATTATAAGCATTTCTCGTCCATAAGCACTTCTCGGACATGACAAAATGGCGGGGCCGCCATTACGTTCACAGAGCGTCGCAGTAATTTCATGCAACCCCAGAATCGCAGTCATAAAACTCGCTCTGCGAGACACGATCGATACCTTTGCGACTTTCATTATTTTTTTATACCATCGTTCGCGTAGCTTTTGAGAAGCTTGTCCGACAGAGAAGTTTTCAGAACACGCTTTTCTGCTGAAAAATGTAACGGTGGAGGTTGAGATTAATAAATGACGAGGTGTGACATAGGCTACGACGTTGGAGAATAATGGTGAAACAGAATAATTTGTAATGGATGTCAACAATATTTCTTGTATATGCTTTGGAGATAGCAGGGAATTTATAAAGAATTAATTAGTACGGTGACAAGTATTAATCGTTTGTGTAACCTTTTTAAATGGGCATCTTTGAAGGTGTAGATGTTAATAAGAAAGTAGCGTAGAAAGTAATTGTATTTAGCAGCAAAGTGATACTAATATTTTATGGGAAAAATGATATGCAACCTGTTTAAAATAGAAACCCTGAATAATGAAATTTTAAACAGTTTATGACAGCCAGTAAATTATACTTATTGTTAGTTAATAACATGAAATGTATAATACTTAATAATACATCAAAGATGTTCAATTTTATTATAGTACAAATTGTAGGAATAATTGAGAACAAAAACTTGACCTAATAAAAATTTACTCAGCACAGTGCAGGTATATTAAATAAATTATTGTGATAGCACAAATAACATATAAAATATATGAAGAATATATTGAGAATAAAAATTGAGAACAAAAATTTGAACCAATAAAAATTTACACAGCTTCAGTGCAGGTATATTAAACAAATTATTGTGATAGCACAAATAACATATAAAATATATGAAGAATATATTGAGAATAAAAATTAAGAACAAAAACTTGAACCAATAAAAATTTACACAGCTTCAGTACAAGTATATTAAATAAATTATTGTCGTAGCACAAATAACATATAAATTATATTAAAAATAAAAATACGGATATAATTTTTGCCAACCCCACTATGTTGTAAACTCAATAATGATTAATACGAAAATGATAAATTTCGATAATAACAACACCTCCTAATAAAATTTCCAACAAGGTTCAATAATAAATGAATTAAATTACTGAAAGCTTGCAAACGTATTAAATTACAATTAAAGCCTAACATCACCTTATTACACTCCATATTATTTACAATTTGCAACTATTTACAGTAGAATAATGACTCATATGTTACATGAAAGGAGCCTATAGAGGCTAGTCTTTGTACGCAACAAGAGTGATTACTACTGTACTGCCACATAATTCTGCAGCATTCAAGAAGAAGAGTGATGGTTACCGGTATTAGCTTCGATTCTGACAATGAAACAAATCACAGTGAATCTTCGCTACGTATTGAACCTACAATCTATCTTCTTAGAGTGGTCGTTGCAACAGCTGCTGTTACAGGTGTGGCTCATTTGAATATTATGTGGAACAGCTGGTCCACTTCTTCTGGGTCGCATTGTCCTTCCTTTCGCATAAATCTTCTTGACATCGATACCTGGAGCTCACGTGTGTAAGGACTCTGTGCAATTGTTTATTGATGCTTTGAGACAATGTCGATGTTCACTTTCGTGCTGATCTCAGTGTACGTTGTAACAGTAAGGACGATTAACCCCTTGCGGTGCTTTGATGGTTCATATGTGACGCGCGTTACAGTTCACATATGAGGCACATTATAGTTCGCGTATGACGCACATTACAGTTCAAATGTGAGGAATCTAAATTTGCATAAACTTTCGATACCAATTTGTATACTTGAAGATAAATTCAAAATATATCTAACATTCCAACGTTCTTTATTTATCTTAACTTGCACTATTTTCACGAGTCCGACTCGTGACGCCCTCGAACTTCAGCTGTGATCAATTTCACTCGAATTTTGAATACGCTTCAATATAGAGTTCAAGTCCAACTATTTGCACAGTCGATTGATACCAAATTGACATAACATTTCAACTTTCTTTGTCTGTTTTAATATTCTAGCTGTGATCAGTTCTGACTGACGCACCCGACAAATAAATCATAGGGTAAGTTAACTGCAGTTATTAGATTGTGAACCGCCAAAAAACTTGTCGATCAAGGTTAATATTTACTGGCATTACAATTTTTAAATAATGAATTGTAACTTTTTAAAGAATGTCGTCAGCAATATTAAGTGACGATTAAACGACGCGTGGACTCGTTAGGATTCCCAGCATGTGACTATAAGTGGACTGTATCTGAAAATTTCACTTCGAACGACTGGAGTTTTGCTATGTACTTGGCCGATGTCTCTTCGAAGAATTTTTACGTTTTGCTGGGCGTATTTTTGTGACATTGGTAAACAGTTTCTTTTGGTTTAGGTAAAATTCGAGTGAAGATGGAAATACGAGTTGGTCTATTTCCTCAAAGTGCAAGTAGTACCTAGCAGTACGAATAATAAACTGCAGACTACTGAGGCTAAGGCTTCACAAGATGTGACTAACAAACCAAAAATACTAGACTGTAATGACTCCTCAGGTCTTATTGATTTGAAGCTACTGAAAAACTGTTAAAGTATCGCTAAAAACTTGTAAAGTCCACTCCTCTTTCTGTAACATGCATTCTACAATATGCATTTTACAAGGAGATTAAACTTTCCCAAAGAAGCAATTCAAAATCAATCGAATTCCCGCCAATTTCTCGCCACAATATTCCCCACACATATCAGCAATATTGACAACAAATATTGTTGTTTAATGGAAATCGCGACAAACTCCGGCAAAACTCTTCCAATAAAGTGCCATTCGCATCAGACACGAGATAATAGTATCCGCAGCTGTTCTCTTCCAACTTCGCCGCTTTTATGTACAATTCCAACCGGCGCGCTGTCCTCGCCATATATGCGATGGTAATCGTTACTTTCCTAAACCGATCACAGAACTTCGTCTCATAAGATCATCAACTTCTGAGAACTTTTCACTGCACACATTTCCGCGAGTTCCAAACAAGAAAACTACGAGTTGTAAAGACGAGCCAATTGCTTATCGATTTCAACGTCGATACCATGAAAACTGGTGATATACGAAAATGGCTTAGGAATTTAAATTACCTGTTCAGTGTATGTATGTTGAATTTAGTGTAGCACTTTGGGGGGAAAATGAACGATGTCATATTTTTGGAGGTGATCTTTATAGGATGGAGTTTGAAATAGATTTTAAAATGTTGGGATATGGGGTGGTGGAGATTTTGAGAATTAGTGATTTGGGGATTTGGAGATTTGAGGATTTTTGGAATTTGGGGATTTGGAAATTTTGGGATTTGAGATATATGGGATTTGGGATATGTGGGATTCGGGATATGTGGGATTTGGGATATGTGGGATTTGGGATACGTGGGATTTGGGATATGTGGGATGCGGGATATGTGGGATTCGGGATATGTAGGATTCAGGATATGTGGGATTTGAGATATGTGGGATTTGGGATATGTGGGATTTGGGATATGTGGGATTTGGGATATGTGGGATTTGGGATATGTGGGATTTGGGATATGTGGGATTTGGGATATGTGGGATTCGGGACATGTGGGATACGGGACATGTGGGATTTGGCATATATGGGATTTGGAATGTATGGGATTTGAGATATGTGAGATTTGGCACATGTGGGATTTGGGATATGTGGGATTTGGGATATGTGGGATTTGGGATATGTGGGATTTGGGATACGTGGGATTTGGGATACGTGGGATTTGGGATATGTGGAATTCAGGATATGTGGGATTCAGGATATGTGGGATTTGCGATATGTGGGATTGGGTATATGTGGAATTTGGGACATGTGGGATTTCTGATATGTGGAATTTGGGATATGTGGGATTTAGGGAATTGGTGAGTTGGGGAATTAAGGATTTTAGGATTTGAAGATTCAAATTTGGTACTTTGGGATTTTAGGTATTTTTTAATTGTCAATTTTATGATTTTAGTGATTGGGGTTTTGGGATTCTTCCAATTTAAGGATTAAAGGATTCTTTAATTGTGAAATTTATAATTTTCAGAATTTTGGATTTTGACAATCAACTGACTTTTTAATTGAGAAATTTATAATTTTAGAAATTTAAGGTTTCGAGGATTTGATGATTAAAAGATTTTTTAATTGTGAAATTTAGAGATTTTGGTCATTTTGGAACTTAAATTTAGTTTTTTATTTTCTTCCAAACAAAATGGTGTTTGAGCTCCTAAAGAATTTAAGAATTTATAAATCTACCAATTTTTTATATCAAAGAACCTATAAGGAAACGTAATCACAAATTGCTTTAAAAAGTCTATTAAAGCATTCAAATGTTAAGGCAATCGTCCATAAAATCACTCGTTACATTAAACTCGAACCCGTTACTTTTTATTTCATATTAGATTATCAAAGAACAACTATTTAAATTGCATGAAAGTTTTTGTGTCCATTACGCTGAACATAACTTCAGTGTGTATCTGATTTTTCTGCCCTGATGATTGATAGCAAGACGTAACAATTATGTAAAATCACACGGAGACGTGTAATTATATTTTGTTTGTTCACAGGATCGAGCAAGGAACGTTTCTGAGAGATTCACATCTACCACTACCTTGACAGTAAACATTAGGGACGATGATGACCAAGATCCTTCCTTCATCTACCAAGGTTGTATGCTGTTGGATGGCGCTTGTATTAATCCTGAATACTCAGCATCGGTACGTAAATGCTTCTAATTCGTATGTAGAAATTAGATATTGCTAGTGGATTAGTAGCGTGATGGGGGTAAACAAAGAGACAAACGAACAAAAGCGGATCGAGTAGCAGGAGGCTTTCATTTTTGGGTTCTTCAATTTCTCAATTTTGAAATTTTTTTATTTTCTAATGTTCTCAGTTCGCTATTAGTCCACTTTCTTTTTAAATTTTCTAAATTCTCAAGATTCAAAATTTCCAATTACACAATTTTCTACTTTTCAAATTTTATTTCACAATTTCCCAATTCCCTAATTTTTCTATTCCATAATTTCCCAATATCTTAATTTTCCAATTCTATAATTTCCCAATTCCCTAATTTCTTTATCTCCTAATTTTCAAATTCTCTAATTTCCCAATTCTATAATTTTCCAATTCCATAATTTCCCAATTCCCTAATTTTCCAATTCCATAATTTCTTAATTCCATATTTTCCCAATTCCCTAATTTCCCAGTTCTCTAATTTCCCAATTCTCTAATTTCCCAATTCTTTAATTTCCCAATTCCATAATTTCCCAATTCCTTAATTTCCCAATTCCCTAATTTTCCAATTCCATAATTTCCTAATTCCATATTTTCCCAATTCCCTAATTTTCCAATTCCATAATTTCCCAATTCCCTAATTTCCTTATCCCCTAATTT